GGCTGAATAATATTCTGTCATCTGGATGTGCCACAGTTTATTAATTCACTTGCCTACTTGAGGATATCTCTCGGTTGCTTCCAAGTTTTGGCAATTATGAATAAAGCTGCTATAATCCATGTGCAGGTTCTTGCATGGTATTAAGTTTTTAACTTCTTTGGGTGATACCAAGGAGCCTGATGGCTGGGTTGTATGGGAAAAGTATGATTGGTTTTGTAAGAAACTGCCAAAGTATCTTCCAAAGCAGCTGTACCATGTTTCATTCCCACCAACAATGAATAAGAGTTCCTGTTGCTCCATATCCTTGTCAGCACTTGGTACTGTCAGCGTTCTGGATTTTGGCCATTCTGACAGATATAATGTGATATGCCATTGTTGTTTTAATTTGCATTTCCCTAATGACATATATTGTGGAGCATATTTTCATGTGCTTATTTGTAAACCATAAATCTCTTCTGTGAGGCCTATTTTTTAATGTTTTTTCCCCTTTTTATAGTTGATTTTTAAGTTCTTTGTTTATTTTGGGTAACAGTTCTTATCAGATGTATTTTTTTTGCAAGTATTTTCTCCCAGTCTGTGGCTTATATATTCATTCACTTGACAGTGTTTTGCAAAGCAAAATTTTCATGAGATTTTTCATTTTCATAAAGCCCAGCTTATCAGTTCTTTCTTCATAGATCATGCCTCTAGTGTTGTTTCTAAAATGCCACTACCATGACCACGTTCCTCTAGATTATCTCCTATGTTATCTTCTAGGACTTTAATAATTTTTTATTTTATATTTAGGCCAGTGTTGCATTTTAAGTTATTTGTTGTGAAGGATGTAAGGTCTGTGTCTGGGTTCATTGTCTTGCCCGTGGATCTAGTTGTTCCAACACATTTGTAGTCTGTGCTCTGTCTAGTATATTGAAATCTAACCCTAATTTAAAATAGTAAATGTTTTAAGATAGTGAGATATAATTACCAAGAGAGCTTGTCCTCCTTTAAGGCTTCACCATGATCCTTTTTGATTTTGCAGATTGGGAAGTTTAATAATATGCCATAGAGAGGTGTAAGGCTGGTGTGTCATATGGGCCCTTAATAGTTCACCCTTCGTCTCCCCTGGGCAGAAGACATTCCTCTAGTGAGACATTTCCCAAAGTTGTCTACAGAAAATCTGTATCTTAGAATGTTAGTGTTTCATAAAAATGCAGAATATATGATTTTAAAAAATAAATTACATATTTTCAATAGAGCCTTTTTAGTCACTTAATTTTTTTATATATTTAAAGTAGTTCAAACACATCTTGAGGACTGTTTTGCTGCCAAAAAAGGGGGATCTGGATCAACTTGTATTTGGGATATATTTCTCATTTTAACAAAGTCTAAATATCTGATAAAACTAATCTCTATTTTGAAAAAGATTTTATTTATTATTTGAGAGGGAGGGACAGAGAGAGAGGGAGAAACAATCCCCATTGAGCAGGGAGCCTGATGTGGGGCTCCATCCTGGGACCCCGGGAGCATGACCTGAGCCAAAAGCAGATGCCTAACTGACTGAGCCACTCAGATGCCCTTATTTTTATAACTAGAATGTAAAAATACAACAATATGTGCAAAATCATCTCCTCTCATTAACTTATTCTTCCTCTCTTTGTCCTTATTTAAAGAATCTTATCTGAGATGCCCAAGTGAGTTCTGGTTTTCTTTGTCAGCAGATGCAGTCGCAGTCACCTTCCACTGGGATGGGGGTTGTTCTTTCAGTATTTTTTCAGTTCTCAGGTACCCCTGTGCTCCAGAGCCTGAAAAGATCCACAGAACCTTTTGCCCAACAGTCTGAAAATACAGTTAAATCCTCGTAACAAAGATGACATGGCAGCTATTCAAAATTTAACTACCAATTCCCTAAGTAATATTTACTGAGTAAATATGCTATACCCAGAGCTCAAGCGAACATGCTTTGCTGTGCTATATATAATACCAGTACATCATTTAGTACAACTTGAATTTAGTCATAATCCCAGGAGAGAATTCATGTTAAATGCAAAGAAATGGGAAAGAAGAGAAAAATCAGAAAAGAGAAAAATCAATGTCTTTTGATCAGAGTTTACCAGCTATGTTCATAAAGCTCAGCTAGGAAAACCCTCTCATCAAGGGGTGAATGAGGACTCCCATCTCTCCCACACCTTGAGAGTAGATCCATCCTACACACACGCTCTCTCCTCAGAAACTGTAACTGGGGGGGGGGGTGACCCCTGGGGGGTTCATTGGTTTAGCCCCTGTCTTTGGCCCAGGGCATGATCCTGGAGACCCGGGATCGAGTCCCACGTTGGGCTCCCTGCATGGAGCCTGCTTCTCCCTCTGCCTGTGTCTCTGCCTCTCTCTGTCTATGTCTCTCTGAATAAATAAATAAAATCATAAGTGGGGAAAGCCTAGTTTTTTCTGGAAAAATTTAAATGTCTTTCCCAGCTCTTCTTCTTTTCCCCTTTATATATTATCCCTTCACATTTACATTGGGTCCCTGAGTTGTTGGGGCCATCTACTGACCTTGCCTCCTCCTTTTGGGCTGAATACCTTGCACATCATGTAGGCATTTCTCCAAGCTGTGATTGTGCTCTTCCTGGAAAGTTTGCTTCCTGATAGGATGGGGTGCCTGAGACGGCTCCTGCAGGGATGGCTCTAGCAGAAACAGACAGATGAAGGTTTGAACAAATAATGAGATTTACCAAGATTATTGCTACTTCTAGCCTTTGTGGTGGACAAAATTTGGGAGAACACGTTTGTTTGGCTTTTAACGTGTTTATATTAATAGTTCCAATTAAAATATAGCATACATTATTTTTAATCAAATTCTTTGATTTTATGTTTTTACCTCTTTCCTTTTATGCTGAAAATCTTGGTTCTAATAGGATTAACATGTTATGTATTATTGTAATGGTTTATATTATTGTATAATTTACATAGAATGTTCTCTGATTCCAAATTGCCGAAGAATTAAACCATTGAGTGAAATTTAACACTTGCTTACAGTTCTGTATCTCTGTATGAAATATATTCCACAAAGGTGGTACTGTCATAGTATCATGTACTATATCAAGTCATTAGGAAATAATTATTTTTTCTACCAACTGTATATGCAATTAGCTTGATTCATTTCAGTTCATTTTTAATTTGTGAACTGTTTCTTAAGTATTTTAATTATATGTAATGCATATATCACTCTATCAGATGTTGCCAAATTCTCTTTCTTTGGGGTTGTACTATTTTGCATTCCCATCTGCAATATTTGAGGGTGCCAGTCTTTCCCTCAGTCTAAGTTCACTGGCCTGTATTCTTAATTTAATGAAAGAATTCTTCACAAATTTTGGAGTATGAATAGCAACTTTTCCTATTTTTTCAATTGTGCTCTGCTCTTATTTACTTTTGGACATTTCAGTAAAGATTTTCAAGGAGGAGCAAGTTACTCTTGTGGAATCAATGTGCCAAATTTTCCCCCAGTACCTGACATTTTCTTGATGGCACTGAGTCTAATAGAATAGGAGACACATAGTGTTTCTATTACCCAGGGAGAGCTGTGTAGCCATGCAAATACTAACAAGATCAAGTAAATATTTAACAATGAAATTGTACTTCTTGAATTTACATGTATAATTATTTGACAAGTTTTGTTTACATTGAGGGGTGCTCTTGGTAGAATATAAGTTAGTTAATAACAAAAGCTTTGTGAATGAAGTTGGATACCCAGGCTTGAAACCCGGAGTCTGAATCATTCCTCCTTTTCCAATTAGCCTGGAGTGAGATTTCAACCACACTGGGAATCTCAAGTGTGAGAAAACAGCAAAAACTATAACCTGCTGCTAAGCTCCTCAAAGTGTGGAAATGAAATCAAAGCCAAAATGGAAACTTTGGGGTTATCTCTGCTCCCTTTGTTCTTAATTATCATTGTTTTCATACCTCCTTATACTTGCCCTGCTTTATTTTTTTATTTTTTATTTTTTTAATTAATTAATTTATTTATTTATGATAGTCACAGAGAGAGAGAGAGAGAGAGAGAGAGAGAGAGAGAGAGAGAGAGGCAGAGACACAGGCAGAGGGAGAAGCAGGCTCCATGCACCGGGAGCCCGATGTGGGATTTGATCCCGGGTCTCCAGGATCGCGCCTTGGGCCAAAGGCAGGTGCTAAACTGCTGCGCCACCCAGGGATCCCCTTGCCCTGCTTTAATAAATATTTCTCTATTTGATTTTCTTTGAAGTTTTGAGGCAAAAAAAAAAAATCTCATCTACATATTTTAAAGTGATCAGTCTGATTATTGATGCAAACCAGCAAATACTATCTCCTCTCTATACATCTCGGTTGAATAAAGGGCATAAAGGGTGCCTGGGTGGCTCAGTCGACTAAGTGCCCAACTCTTGATTTTGGCTCAGGGCATGATCTCAGAGTCATTGGATTGAGCCCCAAAAGCCTGCTTGGGATTCTGGGATTCTTTCTCTCTCTCTCTCTCTCTCTCTCTCTCTCTCTCTCAAAATAAACACACAAACAAATGCCCTAAGTGGGATTCTTTCTCTCTCTTTCTCAAAACAAATGAAGTGGTTTAAAATTGATGAAAATTTTTAAAAATCCTGATATCAATAAAGACAAATCCAAAACAAAGTTTCTAAGATACGTAATTGTCTGGCTAAATAATTTTTCTAAATTATTTTTTTTTCTCAATTCAGTTGTAGAGATTTAGAGTTGCAAGGGACTTTTGATATCTTCCATTCCAGAAATTTTCTTTAAAAATGAGGAAATCATTTGGCACAGAAGATTCTGGAAGAATAGTCTGATTTGCATCAAAGAAGTGGTTCATGGTAGAGTTGGGCTGAAGCAAATCTCCCAATTTCTTAATCCAGCGTTCAAGAGAAATCTTGAGATGTTTATTATTCCTGTTGTCATTGTAGCTATTGTTGTTAACAGGAAAAGCTAAAGAGTAAAGAACTACTCAACTTGTGTTTTATGGAACCACTCTGAGGTCAGGTAGTCACCTTTGGAGCCCAGTGTGAGGCCCAGTATTGCCTTTGCTGTGATTCAGATGATTCTCGCTATGCTTTCCCAGGAATCTATTCTATGAAGAGCTGAGGAACTTCCTTACAGACAGCTTCATTCTAAGAAGGGGAACAAAAAAAAATAATAATAATTTTTAGGGTTGACCCAATCATCACACGTCGACCTCAGCTTTAGACTTACACGGAAGACAGTTCTGAATTTAGCAAGATGCTTGACATGGATGTAGATGGGTCTGTTGGCTTCACCTTATGCATTTATACTTGAGACTCTGAATAAACAGAAAGAACTACTCCGTCACAGCTTCATGTGGTTCTGGAAAAAATGCAGATCTTTGGTAACATTTCACCACAGTGTTACACTGAGAAATGAAAGAGAGTCTCTAGCTCTCCATGTCGTGAAGCTTTGGCAGCTTGAGTCAGCACTGCAGGGGAGAGGTGGTACCCAGGAAGGGAAGAACTTGGCAGCCACGTTGTTGTTACCCAATGAGATTGCTCTGTCAGCAGGAGAGAGCAGTGTCTGCCGGGTGTGACTACACGCAGCCAAAAGAACAGCGATGCTAAATAGGAATGGTTAAAATTCCACAGAAAGGAGGAGTGAAGGGTGATGGGGTCGTACCACAGGAGGTTTGATTGGGTTCGTGAAATCTAGAACGTCCATGAAATCTTTGGAGGTAGGGCTGGAGATGGGGAAGGAATTACTGAAGACAAGTCCTGCAGTGTCCAGAGGGCGAGACTTTCATGCAAATAACTTAATTTCATATTCTATAAATGCCCAAAGTTCATTCTTATTTCGTCGTAGCCAATGTTATGAACAAAACACGGGAGAGGGCTTTCTCCTATCATTATATAATTACAGCAAAAAAATGGAAGGCGGTTATTTTTACTTAATTCGTACAACCAGAATTTTACTAAAAATAACTAAAATTTAACAAACCAGAGGAGATAAATGCACTTTGTGTTCTTTCAGTTTATTCTTTGAGGGTGCCAAATATACTGAGGCAGGACACCTCCTAGCCTTATAATAGAGTTGAGTTTATAAATATAGCACATTCCTAGTCTTTTCTCTTTTATCATTCTTTAATTTATTAAAACTTAAACTATTTCAAATTCTCTATCATGTCCGTACACTGAGTTCAGTAAAAAACAATATTTTAAGAAGATTCAGGAAGAAAAGTGATAAGGAATGAAATACTGGAGTGTAAAGAAGTGCGCCTGGAAGTTTTTTTTTGTTGTTGTTTTTTTAATGAAAGTGACATAAGACGGGCAAATTGCTTGCTTAATGTTAGTCATCTATCGCTGTGTAACAAAGCACCCCAAACCTTCACAGCTTAAAAGACATTATCTAACAGTTTCCCGAGTTAGGGATCTGACATGACTTGGCTGGGTTCCTCGTAGTGCAGGGTCATTTGTAAGGCCATGATCAAGATGCCCACCAGCTTCAGTAATCTCAAGATCTGACTACAAGAGGATCTCCTGGCAAGCTCACTCAAGTGGCTACTGCTAGTCCTCAATCCACAACCCCCCCCCCAACACACACACAGGAATCTTTCCATGAGACTATTTTGTGATGGGGCAGGTGGTTTTTCCCACACAGTGATCCAGGAGAAAACAAAAGAGAGCAACTGAGGCAGAAACCACATGTTTTTTTTTTTTTTTTTGTAACCCTAATCTTGGAAGCAACTCCACCACCTCCACCACATTCAATTGGTTAGAGTTAAGTCACTAGGTCCAACCCAAACTTACATATATCAGAGATATATATCTGTTGATGAGGATCTTTGTGGCCCATTTTGAGAAGCTGCAAGTCACAGTCTCTAAGATAGAGAGATGGTTGGATCAGGGGTTAGGCATTATGTGGTTGAATAATAGGGCAGTGGGATATGGGTGCCCTAATCATCATTTCCCCTCACGCTATCTTTCTCTTTCATTGTTGGAGTCATCCATGTTTACCAGAACCCTCTCTGTTTTAAATTCCATCATCTCTGTTCTGGACAGTATTGATTACTTCCTAAGTGCTATAGAAACAGCTCAACTAGCAAATGCTTCCATTCATCTTTCATACCGCAACTAGTGATTTTTTTTTAAGGTACAAGTCGGATCATCCCCCCTTATTTTAAAGATCCTTCAGTAGACTCCAATTATTTTTAGGACAGTTGACAGAAATTTTTAACATGGCTTATGTATTTTATACAGCCTTTCCACAGCCCTCCTCCTCAACCTCAAGTGACAGCAGTCTCCCCGTAGGCTCTGGTCCAGCCACGCAGCACTGGCCTCTAACCTTTCCTTGAACTGTCTTATCCCACGATTCGTGTCTGCACATGTCATTCTCTCTGCCTGGGATGCTCCGTCTTCCTTCCCTGGCCCCCTACTCCAACTCCTTTACCAATTATCTGTTACATCTGTAAATGGAAATTTTTCCACCAGAGCAGCACTTGCCCAAGAGACACCAACGTTAAATTTCATCATAACTAGCTCAAACCAGCTGAAGCTTATAAAAATCATAAACTTTGAATGACCTCGCTGCTCCAAACCCTTATTTAACCTAACTGAAGATCCAATACTGACCAACAAACTATGAGGGTTTTTTGGTTTGTTTTTTTGTTTTTTGTCTTCCCGACCATGTATAGACCTTGGATTCATTCATCTTCTTATCCAGAGAGCTAGTCTTCAAGCTTTACCTAGTACATCACTATATCCCATTCTAGCACTTGAAATCGTGTAACTTTTCCATGGGGGTGAATGACCTAGTGAATTTCTTCACTGATATCCCTTCTCTTGCTTTGTAAGTTAAATAAGACGCAACTTTGCTCTTGTTTTTTTTTTTTTTTTTTTTAAGTTTTGGTGGTCTCCCTTTTATTGTCTAGCCCTTCACTTAATTAGAGCTCTCTAATTATGCAAGTATGTAATGAATATCTTTCTCTGCCACTAGACCTCAGTTTCCTAGGAAGTAGTAACTGTGTTTACCATGGTATCCCCCAGCACCTAGCAAAATGCCAGTAAATAAATAGGCTCCCAACACATATTTGTCTAGCGGATGAGTAAATAACTTTCATTTTATGGCCGTTTATTGTAAACCAAGAAAGTACATATTGTGAACTTCGTTTTCTCTCTCTCTCTCTCTCTCTCTCTCTCTCTTTTTTAGTTGCTTAGGTCTTAGATTTTTAGGCAACAACTGGCATTTTTTAAGAATTTAATAAAGACACATCTATCTTAACTGCTTGTTAGCTTGTGTTTACCAGTTGCAAAAGGCATGTAATGATTTGGAGAAGGTGATCTCTCTTCCTCTTCCTTCTGACATTACCAATAATGTGCTTGGCCAGCTGTGCAGCGCTGTCCATGTGCACAGAAATTCCTTTCTGAAAAGCACAGGTGATCATGTTTCACCCTGAAGCCTGAGATCTGATTACTCTTATTATAGTAGCCTGAAAAGTTACAAATGTCATTAGTAGTCATTAAATTACTCGACTTGGCTTTCTAAAAGGAGCTCTGGTATTTGACTCAGAGATCTCTTATGACCGTAAATTCCACATTTTGAACATGCATTTTCATGGGGCTGCATATTCTTTGACAGATCCTCTGTATTATTGCTCTGAAAATGACTCTCAGTAACGAAAGTAGAACCTGAACCCAAGAATTCTAATGGAAATTCACGGAAATACAAGTCTTGGAATTAAGTGTGTGTGAGTATTGGCATGCCCAAATTGTCTTCTCCACCCTTTCTACTACCCCCTTCTTTTTTGCTGTGTTCAAGCAATTTAATTCTGCATCTAATTTTAATCTGTAAACCATATCCCTTCCTGCAGTTGTAAAGCATGTGTTAGCACTTAACCAGCAGGAGGGGGTTGCCTAAGGTAAGAGGATTGATAGCATAGACCAGGCATCTTAAAAATGGCTTTGTGTGATTTGGCGCCACTAGCTAAGGCTTCGCGTGCATGGGTCCAATCTATCTGTCCAGGGTTGAGAGAGATTCAGGCAGTGAATATAGTGGAATCTTTTATTCTTATTACTTGGTGTTGATTTTTTAGGAAAAATTGGCATAAGAAGGGGTGGCTTAAGGAGTCTGAAGGTATTCACAATTGCTTTCTTAGAGGGAGCAGAAACAATAGTGGATTTATCTCAAGAGGATGGCGAGTGACTTGGAAATGTTGATTAAGACCTGTTAAAATTATACTGAATTGTAATAGTATTGTGTAAAGCAAAAGAGAGGATTTGTACGATACAAATCTGGCTGCCACATAAGGCTATAGTTTATAGTATTAGAAATTAAGAAAAAGCTGTTCATAAGCCAGGATTTAGTTTTACTTTAAAGTCAAGGGGAACGTTAGATTTTAAAGTTAGCATCTATAATAAAAATCATGCATATGTGAAACAATTCTTGAAAATTCTTAAAACACATATATAGTCCAAATCACGTGTGTTGCATTTGCGGTCACTAGTGGCAATAAATTGACATCATTCCCAAAACTTCTCCACCATTTTTTTTATTTGCATTATCTTTTCAGATTTATTTGTATCTGTTGTTTAATGTAAGGAATGCAACCCATCAATGGTGGAGGGCTGAGGATAATTACTGTGTATCATTGACTCTAAGGTGCATCTTTTTTTTTTTCATTTTAACATATCTGAAATTGAGATGTGTTTCATATTTGACGGTACTTTAAGATTATAATGATCAGGGCTTGTTCCTTGCTTCTTTTTTTTTGGATAGATTCATAAATTTATTAGTTTATTCCTTTATTATGTCTCATCCTCCACTGAAATGCAAGTTTCTGAGAACAGACACTTGTTTTCTTTTGTATCTCTAGTGTCTAGAATCATTTCTGGCATAGAGAAGTCACTTAAATCCTTATCGGATGAGTGAAGATAGCTTATATTCTCTTAGCTTTGTTTCCTTCTCGGCCTTCTCTCTCCTAGAATCTTCTGACATTTTGCTTCAATTTGGACCAGCAGCCCTCTAGGTCTGCAAGCCCAGCTTTCCAAACTTGCGTTTGGAGCCTCTAAAGTTCTTCTTTTTCTTGGTTTAGTTCCTCATTTTGGGAGACCAAAATTCAGGGTGTAAAAAATTTTGAGTTACAACTTCCAATTGCTATTGCTTTGTT